CTGGTCTTGTTGATGATAACAGATTTTCCTGTTTGATCCACATTGTGATCCAGTCCAAAGTAAGCCGCCACCCTGTGGACAAGCATCCTCTGATACGATGACATCTGAGGAAACTTTTTGTAATGATTACTGGAACAGGATATAAGGGAAAATGGAGTCAGCAATTTCATTTCTTGCCCATAGTACATTTCACAGGTACACACAAAGCTATTTCTCTTTCATCAAAACCGCTAAGCTGCTTTCATTTCTGGCATCACTTAATGTCCTCATTTCCAGATGAATTTTCCACTTACAGATTTATTGATTAAGCAGTAATAAATATCTTTGTTTCATAGCTGTGCGTGTCTCTTGCCAAAGAGAACTTAATGTCTGTTGGAAAGTATTTTATTTTAGTCTACGATACCTTATCCACAGAGCCAGGGACAGGACAAATGATATGACACGATACGTGGTTGTGGATGCCTATCTGGAGATGTGTCATTACACGGTTTACACTGAAAGCAGCACAATTATTTCCAGGCATAACTGACTGCAGCCAGCTGGAGCCCATTAAAAAACTATAATAAAAATGAAAAGGGTCGCTTCTCATTACAGCTACTCTATGCTAATCAGTAGACCCCTGTTCATAGCCATTTTGTCAGGAATTTAACAAGCAGGAGCACACATGGTCCAAACAACAATCCCCATCAGCATACAGATCCCAGTTCCAATAACATCTCCATTTAACAAATCAAGAAACACATTAAACAATGTTTTATCTGTCTCTACATCTTTCCAGAAAGGATAATTTAGCCCAAATACCAAACTAAGACAACACCATAAAATTAACTGGCATTGCGGATTAACATACTTGTTATCACCAATGAAATCGATAATTTCCTGCTCCATTTTCAAGAGTATCATCCTGTCCCTGCAAAATAAATGTTAAAATTAAAAGCATTGATGTGTTTTATATCCCCAAAGTTCATTAAATGTATGCAAAAGTTATTTAACCATATGTTGCTATCAACCCATACCTAACTCTTCTCTGGGACATGTTGGCCATGTACATATTATTATTTCATTTTACTTATGATTGTTTATTATCTCATTTATTAAGTATTTTATAAAGAATTTAATAATCTTAATGTTAATTATGTAATTCAAAGTATTAAGACCATAAAAATATCAAATAATAGCCTGTTTTACATTAACAGAAAGTTGGAACAAAGCCAAGCCCAATTATTGACTGTAGATGATTATAGAACTGCATTGAAACATAACCGACTTGACTTCAATAATTTTCATTCTCTATTTTTTCCCCTTAGTATCTCTTCATGTTCAGCAAAGTAGACTATTCAACCATAATTTATTGACTGGGTAACTCCCAGTATTAAGAATTTGTAGTAAACATGCAAACCATTAGCAGAAAAGAGAAAATACAGGAGATAGTTTAAGACATCAGGGAAGGTATCTGCCTTTTACAACAGCCTTCTTCGAAGTGTTGGTTCAATGACTTTAATTGTAATATTGTATTTGACCCTTGTAAAAATAAGACACTTATCTAATAATTTACCTGGAATTATTCTTTAATGTGTTAATCAGAAACTCATGTAAGTCTATGCCTGTAGAATCCGTGTATTCTTGGCTGCAATCTGAAACAAATAGCAGGATGAAGTTGTCAAGAGCGATGGTGGGAAGGTGGGGTGGAAGAGGTTTTCCCAGGCTTTCCCTCCTGCTTGGGTGAATTTTAGAGGAAGCTGTTGGTGTGAAGATACATGTTTCAAATCTAGCAACCTGACAGTATAACATCAAAATGAAAATTAGGTTTGGGGATGGAAAACACTCAATAGATGTGGAAAGACCCAAATGTCATAGGAGGGGAAGTGGGCAGAGTTTGGGCGGAGGCAGGTGGAGTCAAATATCATGTGTTCATTTTGCACTGTAAATCAGCAAGGGCACAAACCCCATGTGACAGGGACTCCCACCCATAGAGAGCAGGCAAGCATTTGAGATCTTATGGCACCTTGTTCTCTTAACACACAGAAGGCAAAAAATGAAAGTTGTTAAGAGACTATCTAAATATTGATTGGTACTAAATATACCTAAGTAGTTTAATTCTCCTACTTCTGGCTAACGCTTAATTTCCAAAACTGTTTTAGGAACCTGAATGTCTATACTCCCACATACAAGTTGGGTTAACTTGGGTTTAGGTTTTCAGCAGCAGCAGAAACAACCATTACAAGTAGAAATGTGATTATTAGAGGTGGTTGTCACTTCTTAGCAGATCAAATACCCTCTTCTTTACCAGTTGTTTTTCAAAATCTACTGTCAGCCTATTTATTCACACCATTCTTCATTTCAACTTAGTTTTTGTTTGTACAACGATATGTACGGAATCAATTTGAATAGTCTGGTAGGTTTGCAATTATAGGGGAATGACTTTTTTGGAAAACTATTTATTGCCGTAGAAGTGTATATTTTTTAAATGAACATTATGTGACATTATTTTGGTGCTGAGATTAAATTCATCTATGCCAGATAAAATGCTAATCACCTATTCCACTGGGATGTACTTTTGTGCTTTGGAGACCACATCACTTATTGACTGAGAATTGCTAATCCACTATCTGTCTTTTAAGATAGGCATGAAAGTTAAAATGTAAAACAGGGTAGCATTACTCTTCATCAATCTAAGTTAATTACCTAATAAACCTGAATTAGGAACAGAATTATATTTACTCCTCTGAACAAGCTTGCACTGAAAACAGAAGATTCAAATGTGAATCTAAAAAAATATGCGATCCTAAAAATAACCTGTATAGCAACACAAATGACACCGTAAACAGAAAGAAAGTCAAGGTCACATCTTTTACACATACATGTTACACATGTAACATTATATGCAGGGTTTAGTGGGAGAGGCTATGCCTGTGAAATCTAGATTGTATTCTGTGAATAAGTATCTGCCCAGATTGAGTACATTAAGGAAATATTTTCACATTCACCTTTTGATAACATTCTGATCTTGGGTTTTTCAGAGGTTTTATCTTTGTTTTTATCCTTTTCTTTTTCTCTTTCAGAGTCATCTTTCCTAGATTTATCCTCCTCTTGCAGGCTGGAAAAACTTGAAAGCTGTAAATGAATTGATTCCTGTTGGGGAAAAAATATAATAATTTAAGGCCTGACTTAATAATCTCTATCTGGTTTCCATTTTGCATAAAAGTTATTAAGTACAGGAAAATGAAAGCCAGGTGCAGATTTTTTTTTTTCTTAAATGGTAAAAAATTAAACCTGTCAAAAAATTAATTGCCCTTTAAGGAGACTTGAACTTCAGAAGTCAATGGGAGGTCATGAGAAACATCTAGCACTAAAACTTTGCCTTATGAATATTAATCATAGTCAAGTTAAATTCCTGTAGATCACAACTCTTATTTTCTCTACAGGTTTATTTTTAAACACCTAGAAAAAAATTCTTTATCAGCATGCTTGCATCACAGCCACTGTCATGTCTTAAAAGAAAAAAAAAAAGGCTTCTATAATTCTTTTCTGTAATTCCTTATAAGGAGACATTGGCACAAACACAGACAGACAGATATTACCAATCATAATTACAGATATAACAGACACAGTAAAAGCCCCTGATAGCCTATTTACAGTTAAAACTCCATTTTTCATGTCAACAATGTTTTCTACTACTATGAAAAATCACACTGTATAATTGCAGAAATCCTAGGTATGGGTTATCATCATAATTGTTTACAAATATAATTGATAAGTCCTTATGATATATAATTGCAATAATCACTACCTTTTAGAAAAGGTAGGAATGAAAATGATATTACCCACAAAGAATATAGAAATATTTAATATTATTTTGTTTTAGTATCAGTTAATCTTTCCAAAATAAGATTCTCTTGAACTAATGGTTTGTGTCACATAGACCATCTAAAGTATGGGGTTGGATCCACTTTAATATTTATTTATTTTGCACTGAAAAACTGATTAACTAACAAATATCAACCCTCTGATAATAAGTTTACTGTTTTGAAGAAGAATGAGCCAAATCATGTTTTTTAGTTGCATGAAAAAAACTATGCTATGATTAAAACTATGACAAATTAGCCAACATTAAGCCCACTTATTCTTATGTAAGAGATCCCTTGATGGGAAAGCTTTCTTCCACTGGTGACATTAAAATTTATGATGTAGAAAAAAATATCCCCAATGACTAATAATGTCTCTCAGTGAAAATGAAAGTAATGCTCATACTACAGGTGACTAAATTGATGGCTGTCGCTCCCCAAATTTTGCTCAGTTCAGAGTTCTCAATGGTTCTTGGTAAATCTAGCTAATCTAGCAAGCATTAAACACAGAAGTCCTCCAAAGCCAAGTTTCTTTTCTGGGAGGGGTTCCACTGTGAACTCCTTGCTAGAATAAAAAACCACTATGCTTGGAAAAACACACAATATAGAGGATGAAATAGAACATGCTCTTGTTATAAATATTTGGCTTAGCTGGGTTTTCTGATTTTTCCCATGTTTATCCTGGGAATGGACAAACATAAAATATGTAAAACATGGTGTGGTCTGATGATAGAGTCTTTCATCGCATGGTTTAAGACAGAGATACCCTAATATGCAAAGGTCGAGGCAGATTTTAGGGTTCTGATTTGCTTTTTACTTGCTAAGGAAACCACTGGAACATTTCTGTCTCAGAAGATACGGCTGGGGGCAGGGAAGAATCAATTAATCAGGAGTGGAGACTGGGGGTTCCAGGTCATGAAAGTGGTCTCATTGCTTCTTCAAAACTGTTTCAACCGTCTAGCCTCTGTAAGCTTGAACCTAAACTCACAGAGGCTTGGAAATACAAATACAAGAGCAGAAACTAACTATAGGACATCCGCTAGCAATAAAAATGTGCAAAATGATGCTATGTGTTGACAAACGCTATGCTCCGAAAAAAAAACTAACTTTTCTATATATCATGGTGTTGAAAGAACACACAAAAGTGCTATAGAGTTGGTAAAAAACAATCTGTTATTTTTTAATATTTTTATTGATATGCTCAATAATAAAATACAAGTGTTAATAAATACATTGGTACAGGATAAGTTTATATCCAACAACAGTAAAAGAGTGATTCAAGTTGCAGTAATACACTGATAGGTAAATAGAATAACATTAGAAAAGCAAAACTCTTTTAACTGAAGGACAGACTGAACCATCATGTATGGGTCTGAGATCAAGTAATACAGGTAGCAAGAGTTTTTCCCACACTGGAAAATGAAGGCAGCTTTCCAAATACCGTGAATGTACAAACATCGGGGGAGCAACACAATCCATATACTTTATACTCGTGCCAGTGTTCTCTGGGATTCGGTCCACACATTTTGTAAGTGCCGGTGGTACCTAATGAAGGCATTGCATATAAACTCAAAGGTCTGCTTCTTTATTCTTTAAGAAGGCAACATGGCCACTTGCGTATGTGCCTGTCTGGGTATTTTCTATCAGCCCCCTGATCCCACGACTTCTCAGCTAGTTTAGACTAAAGAGAAGTTTGCAGCCTCTAATTCTCTCCTACAAAGCTAGTCTGATGTCTGAGCTTGGGACCAGCAGGAACAAAGCACCGTAACACCTTACTTCTCTGCACCAATTATATGGGGAAAAGTGGCTTAGGTCCAGGATGGGCACTATGATACAGATGATCCCTTTAAAAATTTCCTCCGGGTACCTTGCCCCATGGGACCAAAAGCAGATTAAGTCTACAAAGGGTGTCCCTCTCTGCATGGCACTAGGAGTGGAGGACATGTGGGAATTATTCTCCCAGGTCTGTCGTTCTGCAGAGTTAACGTATTATCAGGTGCGGTACGTTACAAGCTGTCAATCAACATTCAATAATACAAACCATGATATTCACATGATTCCCCCTTTTCAAGCTCTTCAAAAATAGAAGCACAAATGAAATGCTGAAGAAAAGCCACACATTTCTCAGAGCCCAAGTAAAATAAAGCATGTGTATGAAACATAGGAATGGCTATTGGAAGATAGCCTGTCCATGCCTTATCACATTAGTGGCATGTTAAGGAAATGAGGCTAGAAAAAAAATACTCTTAGGACAAAATCTATAAGGAATTTATTTTTGGTCCTTTTAAAGAAAGTGCTCTCAATGCTCTCTGTATCCAGGAGGGGAATTCTGAGGATTTCAACTAAAGTCAAGAGACAAAGAAAAAGAAAACCAAACAAAAAATAACGATATTTTCATCAGGTTTTCCTCCCCTGGGCTCAGATAAATCATTTTACTTTTGTCTTGACTGTTCTCATCCTCTGATGAAATAAGTGAAATTTCGGCAGCAAGATTATTTTTATAAAAGCTAATGTCATGCCTGAAAGGCAAATAAAAATAAATATCATATGAAATTATCCATTTTGTCACGGAAGAGTTTTGGTGGAATGTTTAGAGCTTAATAATCTTGCTGTAAGGAACAAAAATATGGGTAAATATAAGCAGTGATATGTTTATAATATTAACTTTAAGTCACCATCAGCTCAGATTTATTTCTGGACAATTTATTCAGTATTGAGAAATCTCCACCAAAGGCCATCAAAGTATTTTTACAAAGTTCAATGCACCTTATTCACTGTATCTTAAGTTTCCTACAAGCCAACAGCTGTGTTTCTTATAGGCAAGTGCATTTGGGGGAGCTGAGAGGTAAGACATCTCCAATAAGAAAGGAGACAGGATTCTTAGGACTATATTTGGTTCAGCCTTATCAAGAGAGAGCCTTTGAGTAAATTCAGCACTACTGTGCTTAGTTTTTATTTAATTTTTAATCTAAATTCTTTTGAATTCCTTTCCATTTGCAGTTTTCAGAGAGTCTGGAAAAAAACAAACGTAATACCGTGTGACAAACTGTTAAACTTTTTCAGAATGTTTCATAAACAGAGGATGAAGCCAAAACATGATTTATTTTCTTAAATATTTTTTTTCTCCCCCGCAACACTGCTGAACATCAAAGTAATAGTCATGCACACAAAGGTGGATCCCGTTCATGCAATTCATGATAATGACAGGGGAGATACCTGATCCTGAAGACTTTCACCTCCTGGCCTGGCTGACGATTCCTCACAGACAGCAAGGCTGCGAGTCAGTTTACCTTTTCCTGCTCCTGACTGGAGGGGAGGAAAGAGAAAGGAAGGAGAGGAAAATAAAGAAAAACAAACAGGAAACATTCTCAGGCTGTCGAGTCACTTCCATGTTTACATAACTTTCCCAAATTAAATTTTTAAAGCCAAACTTCAAGCTTGCTGCTGAGTATTGGCTACATTACTCAAAGCATCAGCCGCCTGTGTTGATAAGGACAGAAGTGGAGGAGGATATAACACGTGAGTCTAAGAAGCACTTCTGGCAGTCTGTGCCCATCAGACTTGGAATGCGGGAGGAATGGATTGCTGCTATTCCATGAAGGGATCAGGAGGAAAAATTATGACAAAATTCCACCAAAACTAAGTTGGGAGGGGATTTGACTGAGATGTCTAAAGGATGAGGAATATGTGGTAAACAGTATTACCTGTTTACTTCAAGGCAGAAATCAATTAGTGAGCTTAAAATATTTACTCTAATTTTTAAGTAGTAAAAACAAAAAAGTGACTATTTGATTTCTAAAGCACTGTAAAATTCCCGAGTGTGAGAACAAGATCAAAATGCACATTTTCAGCTATTCAAATCCTAAATTCTCTAATTAAAAAGCATATAAGGCAATATGTATGAACACAACGCCGTTAAAAGCAGACAACTCCAGTACAGCTGGGATGTACCACAGATCTGTATACAATGATCTGAATTGTTGGCAATAATATGAAATTGGTATTCAAGATATCAGGTCAACCTCGAATTTCAAGAACCCTACCTTGGATTTTCTTCTCTCTTGATTCTGAGCCTCCAGCCGCCTCTGTTTGTTAGAAAGAAAATTAAAAAAACAAACAAACAAACAATAAACCAACAATCAGGAGAGAAGAGAGAGAGAAGAAGGGGTGGGGGGGAGAGTCACTACTTGCTAGAGTTGAGAAATGAATAATAGCAAGACACCATCACCACATGGATGATTCCTCCTTCCCTAGGCTTTAAAAACTTCTGACTTTCAGTTCTTCTTCCAGCATGTATTGGAAAGGAGAAAAGTCAGCCTTGAAGGCTTTTGGCCATTATGTGGTTATCTGCCTTTGCTACTGTGGTATATAAAAAGTCAACACTTTTGTAATCTAGTTCAAATAAAATTGATACGCACAGGCTACTTGTAAGTACAGTTTGTTTTCCCTCTACCAAATCTCTTTCTCTTATGAATCAGTGTATTTAATTACACTTCTTCATTTTCTTCAGTGATTCTGACTATCCCCTTCCCCCATTCCAGTCTTCCCTCTCATTAGCTGGAATTCCAGAGTTTAGGCTTGCTTTCTATTAGGAGTTGAACCTTTGCATGCTCATGCAGGTCAAAGGAGCACATGACTTGGATTTTTCTTAGTTTGTCACGAATTGGGCTTTCAGCTTTTCATAGAATAACAAATTAATTGTTAGAACTCTATTAGCCTCATGCTGCTGCCTTGGAAGAAGCCCTCCACATATATCTTGAGGTGTCTGGAAATTGCTACTGGGATTCTATGTGCACATTCAGTAATGAGTTTCTTTAGATATTTCTCATTTCAAAAGGTATTTGAGACCACGGTTCAGTCAGAGGAAAGTGACTAACAGCTGAAGGAGAAGTTAAGCATTACGGATTTCCTAATGATTTAACCAGTCAAACTCTTTAAAAAATCTTCCAAGTATTCTAGAAATAAAGGAAGGGATGTGCACACAGCACTATGACAATCAGGGTCTTTTGAGACTCACCTGCAGTTCCAGCTTCTCCTCTTCATCCAGACTTTCAGATTTCACAATGCCGTTCTCTGGAATGGCCGTCTCCTGCTCAGTTCCCCCTTCCTCCACTATCGTTGGATTCAGGTTTCCTTGCTCAGACATTCTCTCAGGTACAAATTAAAACAACAAGGTTTTATGCCCTAGAGAGTGAAGATACAGAAAATAAAGTCAGCGCAGGGAGAAGTATTAACTATTAGTCTTGAGATACTTCATTTCTCCTTTGGAATTCAAATTCAAATGAGCAGCTTAGGCACTCCTGCCAATTTTTATACAAAACAGGAATAAAACAAGATGAAATCAGATTCCCAAGGCACACACCAGAGGCAGATGCAGTCTCCCTGTGCACACCTTCTCTACACACATGCACACACACTGTGAATGTATTTTGCCATGAAAATGGATCCAAAAAATCCATAAGTGGAGACATATAACTCCCACGCAACTACCAGTCCCAATATTTTCCAACTCTTCAACAGATGACCCTCAACTTCTGACTCAAGAGGTGATATCGATATTCTGCAGCATGTCCAAGGTAACTCAAAAATTACTTGCAGGTTTCACGTAGACACACTTCCCTAGTTATAAGGAATATAGTTCACTCTACAAGGAGCAAAAATCAATTGAAGAGGTAATAATTCAGTATAAATATAGGATCTAATTTCAGCAATAAACCTTTCAAGGTCAACATTCCAGGCTTCAAACTGACAGCTACATTATTAAAAGTGTAAGCCCTCTCCAAGCTCCTGTCAATTGCTGGGGCTGCAGGATCCTGTGGAAGGAAGTCTTTGCCTGGCAGCTCTAATGAAGCTATCACAACTGAACTCCGCTACCCCAGGCTTACAATACACTACTGTACAGACCCTGGAATGGCTTTCAGGTTCAAGTCTGTTATTATTTTTTTTTCTCCCTACCTCCATAAAACCCCTGACACATCCCCTTTTGATGCGCTATCAGATAGGGTCGTGAATAATTTAGCATTTACTTCCTCTTGATTTTTTAAAGCTGTGAGAAAAAAAAAAAGAGAGAAAGAAAAGAAGGAAGGGAAAAAAGGGAGAAAAGAAGAAGGAAGAAGGAAGGAAGAAAAGAGGAAAGAGGAAGGAAGAAGGAAGAAGAAGAAATGCTATAGCTTAGAGAGTTAGTTTATTCACAAAACACCCCAAGCAATGACTATCCCATTTCTAGCCTTTATAATTGTGATTATTATTGGACAAATCAGTGTTTTTATAGGTTTCTTTGGAAGTGTTTAATTACCATTTACTAACTCTGTAACTTGATTTCCCACTGGAAATAGGAAGCATGAGAAAAATATCAAAATCACAACAATTTTTATTGCAAATTTTCTAAAATCTACCATGACAAAACAGATGGTATCTAATGATATTTTCTAAATACACAGGCTTATTTGGCAGAGGATTGTGGGAATGTAAAAGAAAAAGTTTTCCGAAAGGACAGCAGTTTGAGTCTGTAAATGAGCAATGTTTTTAGGTTTGGGGAGGTATCAGGATATTCCATCTAGTGTATTTTGACAGGTTTCTTTTATTTCGGTGGCACTCAGGACATGTGCTTAACAAAATAAAAAGTCCTGTTTCCCCATGGCAGACAGCTTGTCTCTCAATGTATTGGGTAGGGGGAGGACAGGGGACTTCTGTTGTCCTAACTCATTTGCAGAGCCTTTCAATAAAAAAGCAGATCGTGACAAGATTTAAAATAGAGTGAACAAATTGAGCTCTAATTTTCCAAACTACAAGCCAAATGAGTCTCAGATACAGACCCTGCCTACTATGGTTACATTTGGGGCACTGCTCTATGTAAACAGGCACATTTCTATAACAATAATATTAGTAAAATACAGATGAGATGACAGCAGACAAGACCTTTACCTTTTGCGCAGAATTCCTGCTGTAGCTCTTGGCGACTTACTACCGGCTTCTGTCGTTCTACACCAGGAAAATCCACACAAGTGATTAGAGACAACTGGAGTCCCATGTCCCCATTAACAGTTCGGAATGCCCATCTCCATACGATTCCCTTACACAGTGTGACACATCATCGTCAACCTGAAAAAAGATGAAAAGTAAATAATAATAATTGCAATGATCATGGTAGGGCGAAGGGCAAAATAAATAAGATTGGGTTTCTAACACTAATGACCAGCTTCCAGCAAATCACGTTCACAGCTTGATCCAGCTCCACCTGTCTCAAGCTGCCTGCTTCTTCTCTAATGAAGGCTACAGCCGGCTGTTCAAGTCAGAACGGCACCCACGCAAGGAGCTAAAATTAACAATTGCATTATGCACCGAAGATTACTCACTTCAATTTTAACCTTTTTTAGTGAAATCTCGCACTTTGTATTTAAAAAAAAAAAAAACAAGCTTGTGTGTTTGCTTCAATGAGACTCAAGATCACCTATGAGCAAAAAGTCCTGCTTCCTTTTTTAAAGCAAAGCCTTTGTCTTAATTTTAGATTAATATATACTTTAATTCTATTTCTGTGACTTGTTTCTTCATGAAAGTTATCTTTTTAAAATGTATTTAAAAGTTCACCACAAAAGTGAAAAAGAAAAAGAAAACTTTCATAATGGCATGGCCAAGAGAGCTCTCGTCTCTCCACTTACAGTTGAGGAAAAAGAATTCCTAATTTTCTTGTTGCATGGGGAGCAAAGTCTATCCATCCCCCTCCCTCCCCATCAGGATTGCCACCACCAGCTGGGCATTCTGTTTGACAGCAAAGAAACCCTGTCAGAGGGATTCAACAGATTTGCAAACTTCAAGCCTGTTGAAAACAATCCATGCTATAATGTGCACTTTCTTTTTCTCACAACTCCTACAGGAGCTGTGGCAAAGACAGCTTGAATGCAAACACAGAGACGGGCTCCTAATAACATTTGCCAAAATCAAGCTGTATCTCCTTCCTTTCCCGGTAACTCTAGTCTGGTGCACGCCTGCTAAATCCAATAGCATGCACGCCCCTTCCATCAAATACCCATCTATGAAAACACTGAACGCACCCCTGTTATTTAGTCTAAGGTTAGGCTCTCTCTCTCTCTCCTCTTTGCTGTGCCCTCCCCCCAAGTTTAAATGAGTGCAGCTGGTATCTCACAGGATTTTACTGTGGCTATATTAACAACATATTAGATTACAAAGCCATTTGTTGTGCAAGAGGAAAACAACTGTTCAAAATGCAGTCACTTATACAGTCGAAAATTTCTGGATTTATTCGTGTTTTATTAAGATGAATAACTAGGATTTCAACTATGTTTCTTATGTTATTTGAAATGATATGGCTACTGACAGATAAGCAAGCATGCATTTAGGACAAAAATTAACTGCTATTCAACCGTAATTCTACTTTTTCAATTTTGACCCATTTCATCATGGCTACTATAAATTAATACTCGACATTAAATAGAAGTCACTATGTATTACAATTAGAATCCATTTAACTAACTAAGCCCATTATCCAGTATGTTTTAGAAGAAATGCTGGTGATGGATGGAATTACCAAATGCTTTTGGGGTTCTGTTTTCCTTTCTCCAAGTTGAAGGAAGGTACCAAAGATCACCGCAACCTTTTTGCCTCCTTTGTCTGACCCTCATATTTGCACAGTGGCATATAATCCAGCAGGTGAACGGCAATGCAGTTTTCCAACCTAAGTCTTAGATGCATTATTCCAGCCTCAGTAGGAGGATGCAGGATATAATTCTTTCCATGAAGAGAGCAAGAACAAACTGATATTCACGTAACTAACTCAACGCACGAACAGCCTGGATAGATGTGTGTGCGTAATTACCGGGACACATTTTGAAATAGCACTGAGCTCTAAAGTCAGCGAGGTATTATTCTTGCATGCCTGAATCATAAAGTCATCATCTACCAAGATAAAAGAGAATATGGGCATATGGGGATGAGCAGAGTGGAACATATGGATCACAAATATTTTTGTAACTGATTAAAATTGTTCTCTTTGCTAAGAAAGCAGTGCCAGAAAATGAACTCTACTTCAGCTTTCTCTGCCACTGCCATTTAATCCTGATCTGTTCCAATTTCTTCCATTTTCACAAATAACCAAAACTATTTTTTAAAAAATATCTTTTCTTTGACATTTGGTTAATAAATACTCTGGCTAAATTTCAATTGTTCCATGTAGAAGGATGGAAGGAGAAAGAGGAAATTATATACAAATGCACAAAATAAAAATTACTATGGTTCATTTAGTGAAAATATTTCAACCATAGTTTGGGGTAAGATTTAGCAAGATCTGACAATGACTTGCAAATCCAGCTATATGGACGTGATCAAGAATGCTGTCAGGTACTTACTATGAAGAAAATGAGTCAATACCATCTCAAGCTATATTTATATTGTTTTCTACCTCTTTAGCTTACTTTTGAGTTGAAAAAATAGCAATTAGGATTGTAGGAATGAGAACGAGAGAGAGAGAGAGAGGGGAAAGGCCAATGCAAATCACCAAATATTCTGTCTGTCATCACCACCACCAAGATAGAGAGAGAGCATCTTAATTGTGTGTATGTGTGTGTGCATGTGTGCGAATGGCATAGATTAGTCACTGCACTACCATGTGGGGAATGAAAGATTAGAATTTAATTCAGATTCCAGCAGTGATTTAGTTCCCAGGGGATACCTAATGGGAAATTAAAGCTGAATTTTATTGGCAAGTTGGGAGAGTCACTTTATTAGTCACTTTCCTTATAATACTTATACTAAAAATTAATACAAGAATGACTAATCTAATCCCAAATCAGTACAGGTATTTTATGATGAAACAAGAGTCAAGATTGACTTATTTGGAAAATTTAAATATTTCTCCCATATCCTTTGTTTCGTCTCTTTTTTCGGGGCCTAGTCCTACAAATGAAAGCCACGTGTACACTGGGCTGATATTAGTAATTTGTCAATTTGCCAATAAAATATATAAATATGCCAACACCAAACAAACCAAGAATAGAGCCCATTCTCAAAACAGTTGTTCTTTTAAAGTTAAAAAAAGAAAAACATTTTTCAAAGCATAAGATTAAGTTTAACGCAAATGGAGAAAAAGGGAATTGGAATGTCATTCCTTCATACATGGGAGCAGCAATGGTATTACCATAGCATATTATTTTCCCAAGTGCCAAAAAATTATCAATGAGAAATTTTCACATAAACTTAATATTCTAAAGAACACTTTGTCTTTCAGTACATATTTAAGAAACACTCCATCATTAAGTACACCATTTAATTAAACTCTCTTTGAACAACCTAACGTATAGGCATTCTCTAAGATTCCCGTGCTACCTTGCAAATACCAAAATTGCCAGAAAACCATTTTGGAGAAAAAATCGAGGAGGGCATTTAAGAAAAGAAATTTTCAGGTTAGAGTTTTAGGAGCTAGAACTATTTTACATTAATGTTCTTGCTTAAGCCTTAATCTAAAAAGCTGGCAATTTAGAAACGGTAGCTCATATGTCGAATCTCAATTTTTCCTCTTTAACTATAGCAACGTGGATACAAACATACCTTAGATCAACATTTAGCAGAATCCCAGCAGTGGAAGGAAGTTATGCCAAAACTTTTTATTTATTTATTTATTTTTGCAGTTTTTGGCCAGGGCTAGGTTTGAACCTGCCACCTCTGGTTTATGAGGCCAAAGCCCTACTCTTTGAGCCACAGGCACCACCCATTATGCCAAAACTTTTAACATTAAAAATAGCCTTATAATAATCATAAATGCCTTTAAAACTAAAGAAGGTGTCATGTCATTAAAAAAACTCAGAAGGATAAAGGCCTTGTGCTGGTCTTTCATTTCTTCACCCTTAAAACAAGTCATCATATGGGCTTCTATATTATGGACATATCAGGAGAATTAACACAATCTCACTTAAAAAAACTCTTTTTTCTTCCCAAATTGATATGAATAAGCGAATCAATATACATATCAAAGACAGAAAATGATTATACAAGAGAAAACATTGGCACTCTCTCTTACAAACTTTCCTCTGATATAAGAATGGTACAAACGTGTACAGACTAGTTCTATGGATATAACCCTCCCCAGTTAGTACTTTACTCGTATGTACTCAATAAATGGCTATCATCATAATCTTTTAACAGTATTCCCCTGGGTGAGATACATTGCTATTTATCTATCTAATGCAGACACTGCAAGAATAAAAAAGGTAGGGAGGGGAAAACACAATGTCCAGAGAACCTCTGTACCTCTACCAGAGTCAATGCACATGTGGCTACAATGTTGTCTCACCAACAAAGGGTAAGAGACACTGTTTCCCACTGAAATAGACAACTCTATAAACATTTTTGCCCCAAGCTGACTTTGGACATGGTATTGGTATAATAAAAATATAAGCTGTGGACAGTCTGCATGAGAGAGCTGGGTGGAAGGCGGTCACTGATCTGGAGCTTCGTCACTTCACTGGCCCAGTTTTTGTATATTTTTTACTGCAGATAAGGAGATTAATTTTGACCAAAATCAATGTCCTAGAGAATGGAGCCAATAGCCCTGCTTTCATGTTGGAAAGTGAGCCAAGCCTCTGACAACATTGATGCTTGTTTTCATTTGGCCATACGACCATTTGGACTAGTCCAAGGATTTTTCAATGGGCTCAACTTCCATAACCTATGCAGGCTAATCAAGCTATTCACCACCTTACATTTACAATATTACTCTGTTGAGAATTAGGCATGATTGAGGGTACTATCACCCTTCCAGCCAGGTGCAAACTTTAAAAAAATGCACAAGTACTCAGAACCACACAGCTGCAATAAACCTTGAGATCAGCTGGTTTAGGGACATAAATATAACACTTGGACGAGACTCAGAACTATGTTGTGGAGGAAATGGGTCAAAAACACAGTCATTTTGACTAGGGGTCAAAATTATTTTTAATAACCTGTGTTCCTATAGTGATAGTCCTATTAGAAATCTGCAACATACATTCTCTGAGTCACAGAGACATAGATTGTGACATATCACAAGACAGAGCCACAGATTGTTTTTCACTGGCAAGTGAGCCAACAAATTCTGCATAAAAACTGTCTGA